CTGTGGGAGCCAAGGCCAAGACCCAGCCGCCGGGAGCCACAGGCTCTGGTCTCGCCTTAACACACAGTGCGGCCTTTGGCTAGTCACGGAAGTCAGAACTGTGGCTCTGCAAGACACCTTTGCAAGAGGAAACCAAAGCCAGAAGAGATTCCCCTGCTCAGGGTTGTTAAGGCCTGTGCCCGTCGATGAAACTCGAGCGCTACTCACACCATGCGTGATGCTGCTGCCACACACACAGGCCCCTTGGCAACAGTGACGTGCGGCCAACAGTCTGAACCTTGAATCCCACTGGTAACGGCCATCTCTCAGTCAGCCAATACCACTTTGATTCCGGGATAATCTGGATGCAAGCTGACCCGCACTGGCCCACACTCTACGCTGCATAAAAAATTTGTGAACTGCGAAGGTCCAAAGACTGCAAAAACTATTTACCCTACCCAAAACCTTTCCAAGTACCCAAACTGGAAACCATGTGCGTCTAGCAGTGACGTGTTTTGGTCCCTCTGGGCCCACAGAGTGTGCAGTCCTGGGGAATAAAAAAACTGGACTCCTGTCCAAATATCTAGATGAACGGCTTGGCCCATTGGTTGTAGCCGGCAAATTGAATTGTTTTATCAGACTTTCATTTTACAGTGAGTCAGGCGGTCCCGGCTTTAACACCAGACACAAATCAAGGTATCCAGAAACAACTGAGTGACAAGACCCTGCTGTGACACGGCGTCGCCACACAAGGGGGACCCACGTTGCTCTCCCACTCACGGCGGACGGGGGCCGCCAGCAGTTCCTCTTCACGGGGAAGCAGACTGGGACAAGGGACGTCGCAGACACGGGACTGCGCGAGAACAGGGGTACTGGTGCCCCAACTGTCCTCCCCCCCCCCGTGAACAAACCACGCAAAGAAGTCCACAAGGGAAAAGGCCTAGGATACGACACACGTACGTGCCAGAGCCAGGAAGTGATTGTGCAGAAAAAACTCTCATCATCCCACTGGCTCTTTAAAAAAATTATTACTATTTACTGAAGTGGCACCTTTTTGTAGTAGAATGACTGGTTCTGCATGTGGAACCTGTAGCGGCATTTCTCTCCTGCCCCCCACGCCCCAAGCACAGTCCCTCCGTGCAAAGGGCTGCTGTGGGGGTACCGGGAGAACCATTCTGTGGTTGACAACCCTCCGGGCCACTCTGCAGACGGGAGGGCGTCTGCACTCGGGCTACTTAGTGTGCGAGGGACACCGTGGCCGAGTAGAGTAACGTCATTCTTGGAGGCGGCGCTGCGCTGCGGGAGACCTGCAAGGAGGCAGCAGGTCCCGTGGGATGTCGGGGTAATTGAATCAGCAGCCCTTCGGCACCGCAGAAAGCAAGGGCAGGGACACGATAAAGTGAGCCCGCAGCTCCTGCAGCAGCTCTTCTGTCCCACCTGCGGGGGAAACAGGACCCGGGAGTAGGGCCTCTCCACCTCAGCACGAGCAACATTCGGAGCTGGGTAATTCCGTGTCTCGGGAGCTCACATGGCCGCTGTAGGGTGTTTTGCAGCATCCCTGGCCTCTGAGACTAGATGCACCACACCCCTCCGGTGTGACAAACCAGTCTGCAGACAAAACTGCCCCCATTCGCTGCCCTGGATCACCTGGAGAAGTCAGGTGACACATGAGTGAGCCACTTGCCTCTGTGTACACAACAGGCAGGGATAACACAGGGCTGGGACAGGAAAGGGGGGGTAGGCTTCTTTCACGTGAAAATGCTCTGTAAGGGTCACCAACAGGCACTTCACATCTGAATGGCAAATGGCCAATCAAAGCTCGGAAAAGGTTCACCTCACTAGTAATTCAATAAATACAAATTAGAACATTGAGATCCATTTGCAAGAAGTTAAAAGATAGTAACAGAGGACTCCCAAGGGGATGGCAAAAGAGACACTCTCCTGCAGTGTATGTGAGAGTAAGAATTGGTGAAAAGTTACCAGATAAATATAAATGTGTATATGTAATTGCATATCATCAAGGCCTTATTTGTAGCAGGAGAAAATGGTAATAAGCTGGTTGTGCTCAGCAGGGGATTAATAACATTATTGTATACCCTTGAAATTGACACTATGTGGTCATTAAAGAATTATATGGGCCTGTACATAATATACAAGGATGTCCAGTATAGGACTGTTTCGTTTCTACCTAGAAAAAGTGACAAGGGAAGAGAAAAAAGACTGGGGCTTCTCTCTAGGATGTGTGATTTTAGATGACTGTTTTCATCTTCACATATTTCTAAATTATATGAAATTGTTTACCTTTCGCATGAGTTCTTTAAAAAAGTGGTAATAAAGACACCACCATGAGCTCTGCAGTTACTGCCCTTCCACCCGAGGGGCCGGCCGACCCCCACCACGCAGACCGTCTGACCCACTCCCCTGCTGGGCGCAGATCCGCCTCCCAGCACCGGGCCTCCCTGACACTCACATCCCTCGGAGGGGCAGGTGTGACCCTGTTTCACGGAGGAAGGGCCTGAGTGCCCGCGGCCAAGCCGTTAGTGAGTCCTAGTTGACGACGACAGAACGAGAACTCTCCCCTGCCTGTGAGCACACCGAATAGGTGGCCTCTCTGTACATCTACAGTTTATCTATCAATCTCCAAGAAGGAAAAAGCAAATGATGTGACCCTTCCCCAGAGTTCGTTGCAGCTACACCAACTGAGGCACAAGCCCAAGGCCCTCCAAGTCAGTTTTCGGGAGCGGCAGCCTGAAAACTGCATTCGCTGCTCTAAAATCCTACCCTCCGCGGGCCAGGAGCCGGGCTCCGGGGCCAGGCGGTCCCTGGCCCAGTGGATGCAGGCCATGCTCTCCTCTGCGCATGCTCATCTCGGCACCTTTTCCCAGTTTGCCGGTGGTTTCTTTCCCCGGGGACGTATCTCATCCTCACGGCCTCAGCAAGGAGGTCACTGAGATTCAGAATTGGCGGGGAAGCTTTGAATTACCCAATAACCTTTAGCCCCAAAGACTCAATATCTAATAATTTTTTCCTAAACCGAAGGTGTGTTTGCACCTTCTTTGATCTTTGCCTAAAATTGCAATATGTATCATGCACTTTGCTAGGTTCTGGGCATACAAAACCAAAACAAGGTCTCCAATTCCAGAAACCTCCAGTCAGGGGGACCAGAAACACACCAGGGATTGGACAGCAGGGGGGTGTCCTAGGTTGGAAGGCTGGGGACACGAGGCCAGGTCCTCGGGTGATTTCATTACATCATCTGCAGGTTGAGAGTTTCCAAAACAGTGAACACGCCCCTGATTAACTTAAGTACAAAAAACATATTCCAGGGCCAAATGAAAATGACCTTTGCATTATCAACCCAATTTGGCTATTTATGCCACCTCTCCCCTCTTTTGGCCTGGACAACTGAAATCTATACGCTCTCAGGGGGCATGCCTACGGATGAGTCAGCGTTGGAGCCAGTCAGAGCGGGTGGGACGGACAGTGGACTCGGAGCCCGAGAAGTTGTTCTTGTTTTGGTCTGTCACTAAATCTCAGCGGGGACTCTGGGAAGTCACTTCACCTCTCACTACTGCCTCATCTGGGAGGTGGAAGTACAAGCGAGCTTAATTCTTTCTCTACCACTGGCTTTCTCTACCAGGGCTGCAGACACTGTTTGTGAAAGCAATGAAAATGCAAAGCGTGCTCAGTGAATACTCAAGCACAAAGTAAAACAGCCACGTGTTAACCTCTGATGTACCTCTTTTCACGTTAAAACTGTGTCATATTGCTCCAGAGTTCAAAGAAGCTCAAAGGAGAGGGCGATACCAGTGACCACAGAAAACGAACTCAAGTCTCACACTGACATGCACATTTCTTTCACTTTACAAAGTCTGATTTAGCACCAACGAATACAGAGAACCCAAAAAGCCCACTGCTAACTGAATACATTTCCTGGGACCCAACATGTAAACACAATTGCCACAGACAGGTTACCCTCGAAGGAACTAGCTTATGGGGACAAACTGCTTCTGGAAGGTGAGTGTAAGGACTGGGAGGGAGTTCAGGGAAATGCCCACTCCATACTGCAGAAACACACTGAAAGGCAAGCATGGCCCAAAGGAAAACCTCCGCTGGAGAAAAAAATTTTTCGAAAACAGACTGTAAAACTAGTGCAGAGCGCCACGCTCAACAACTTGAACAACAAAAAAAATGAAAAAGGCCCTGCGCAGCCCTCCTGGGGTTGGTGAGGGACTCCAGGAAGGGGCCGTGCATTCATGGAACCCCTGAGCGCACAGAGTGTGCTGCTCAAGGGGCACGTCCTCACCTGAGGGCGGGACACACCCTCGGGCTGGGCCAGGGAGACTGCCTGCTGAGCCGGAGACACAGGGCACTCCGGAGTGTGGGGACCGGCAGCCTGCGCGTCCAGCGCTCAGTCACTCGTCCCCCTGAGGGTAGATGTGAAGTCTCTCACAGCTCCTCGCCAGAAATGTGCTGCTGCTGCTGCTGCTGCTTCTCCTCCTTGAATCAGAGGGAAACCGGACATCTGAACCTGTTACAGCTCCTGAGGCTGAAAGCCATAAAGGATGGCCGCTGATAGCCGGTCGCCAGATGTATCTCCTGCACACAGGGTCTCCACGACAGGGGTGCAGAGAGGCTGTTGGTGATTTTCCTGAGGCTGCCCCTGGACCGCGGCTGAGTAAACCAGTCACTTCACAGGAAATGAGGACAAAATCCTCCAGGACAGTAAGTCAGAATCTCTGCTAAAAATGATGCTCACACGAAGGCGTGTGAGTAGCCCAAACACCCCTAGGAAACAAATCTGAGGGCACTTGGTGCTGGAGTGGAACGGAACAGGGTCTTAGAGACTGTAGACAATGTTAGACGTCAGCGTCAGGTGTCCAAGGCCCGCTCCCGAGGGTGCTGCTAAAACAAAACCAGAGCACTACCTGGGGAGCATGCACGTTCTAAAAGGCCAAACATTGCTTCGGGGCGAGGGGATGATTTAAATCTCACGAGACTCAAGAACACAAGAAAACAACAACAGAAACACCCTTGAATATATTCGACAATCAAGGCAAGGCATTTTCCCATACAAAACATCATAATTTTCCCACTAATCCGAAGAAATCCAATAAATAACTTTACAGTGAGGGGCCCCGATGGGCACTGCGAGTGACCACAGGCCCCGGAGCAGCTGCGATGGTGGAAGTGCCACCCCTCCACAAGGTCGCCTGCAGTCCCGTCTGCTCCAACTGTGACCCGCTGGCGTTTCCAAGCTGCTCTGCAGGTCAGGCCCACCGGGTAAAGCCTGGGGGGGAGTGAGCCAAAGAGTGCCACCCAGGAAGTGGTCAAAGCCAAGGTTTCCACACGACGACTCCCCCTTCTCCAAGGGACCGGCGACCGCGGAGGCCTGGCTTCAGGCTGCAAGTGCTTCGGTCTCGTGCGCTCAGCCGTCTTCCGCGCCCGTCACGCCGGGAAGAGCTCGGGAGGGCTCTCCCCGTAGCAGTACTTTGCTACGGGGTCCCTATAGGTGTTCTCGTGCTGCACGCTCTGTCGGCAGAAGGGGAGAGAAGAGCTGCGTGAGGGGGGGCAGGCTTGGGCACCTTGCTCTCGGAGCCGGAGCCCAGACCGCCTCCGAAAGCCCCCCCAAGGCACGTTCTGGGGCAGAGGCGAATGCTCAGCGCAGAATGCCAAGGAAGAGCATGGAAATGGGCGTAACATCACTGCAAGACTGCTTCTTTCTATGTACACTAGTGAGTTGTTGCAACAGCCTCACTGTGGCCTGGGCAACTCAAGACGACTACTGTTTTCTCAAATTATTTGGTATCACAGTGAGATCCTGTTGGTGTTCTGCAATTGACCACGTGCTTCTGGAAAAGTCAGTGGCTGGAGCTGAGCCCTGCAGGGACGGAGAGGACACACTTGGAATCGCCTTCATAAAGTTTTATGTGCCCCTGGGTTTGGCACACAAGCCACACCCCACGCCACCAGACAAGCCTCATTTGGCTGAGAAATGGGAAGTGTGATTTAGAACAGACAATCATCCCGATGGCTAATTTCTCGGCAATTTGTTTTCATACAGGCGACTTGAGTTTTTGGCTAGTGTACAGTTCACTAATTAGCCCAAGACCAATGCTAAACATCTACGTTGTAAGTACTAATCCAATTTACAGATGTACAGCCAAAAGCTTCTCTTTCTTGGGATACTATCAAAACAACTGGCAACTGGGAAATCTCTCTTTGTAATAAAAAGACTTAAGTCAGAAAGTTTAACATCTTCACTCACAAGTGGAAGTAACTCTTGAGTTTTATCAGTTAAGGGAAGAAAGTATTTCGCCTTTTCTGGCGTTCTCAGAATGCGAGAGGATATGAATCAAATGAGTCATGTGTTCAGCCTTCCTCCACATTTCCTTTAAGGCCCATTCAAGTGGAAAGCTCTTACAACAAAACAAGCCCATCAGGAATTTCTTCATGTTTTCAAATGCTCATTATAATCCCTGAAACATTTACCCAACGAGGCTGAGTGCTCTGAGAGCAGACCAGAGACGTGGAAAGCGGCGTACAAATCAAAAGGTGGACTGCAGAAGTCTGGCCAAGGGCACGGAGCTCCCGACACTGACAAACGAGTCCGTTATCTCAGACGAAGCCAGCGCAGTCTGGGAGACACCGTGAACAGAAGCGGGGGGTGTGCCCGCATAGCAAACGTGGCTGGTGATCTCACAAAGACAGCCCCACAGTTGCCCACCACGGACTCGGAGAGCCAAGCACACAGAGTGACGGAAAGCAAGAGTTTCGGGTGCTTTCAGCAGCAGGTGCACTGTGCAGTGCCCCAAGAGCAAAGCATTTAATGACAGCATGCTAGTAAGTATTGAGAGCTTGACAACCTACACACTTCCTCATGTATTTTTAAACACCACCTGCCCCATCCCCTGAATCCTAAAATACACCATAACTCTGTCCCAGAACAAATGAATACTTACTGTCAATGAGTGGTTGCTGGAAACCCTTAGTTAAATTTCAGTCAAAGACCAAAGAACTTCTCTCAGAAACTGGACATCTGGATTCCACCCAGACGTAAAAATAATTCTAAGGTCCCACTTAAAGTGTGCATGTGCCAATCAGACAGGGAGATGCAAATTGATTGTATCTTGATTTAAGTATTTCACTTCTCTAACTTGTATAAATCTCATGTTGACATTCTAAACACTATCGTTCTACCAAAGCTTCATTTGAATCTCTTCTCCTTTATCATTCGTATCATGCACTCTATCATAACCGTCCCCCCATTATCGTAAGCCTGTTTTCTTCTGGCCCTGACCCCCACCCACCCAGCCTCCGGCTACAAACGTCAGAGCTGCTGACCTGGGACGATGTCCTGCATTTAGCCAAACACAATTCAAAGTGATCTTCGACGGCCATGAAGAGGTTCTGGAATGCCACAGCTGCCCGGCTGAGGAACCGCTCCAGGAGGAGTTGCTATGGGAACAAAAGCAAGCACCTGTAATAAATTCCAGACTCAGCAGTACAAGGTAACCTTGTCTATTTGTCCTAAACTAAGAGACCACTGAAGGGGGGAATGGGGTGGAGGCAAGAGAGAGGGAGGCAGCCAGCTCAACTGGGCCAGAGCACTGCTATTTTATTCATTAGAAATCTGATTAGCAACACAATGGCCCATTCTGCAAAAGAACCATTCAAGTAACTGGGAACCACCTCCTCCCTCGTAGACAAAGGCTACTTCACAGCTGTGATTTCTGACACCTACAAAGTTCCCTTTTCTATTTTCAGAAGAACCCAAGCTCATGGTAAAACAAAGGCAGAAAGAGCAGACGCAGACGCAGATGCAGAACTGGGCACAGCACAGCTCTCGTACCTTGCTGGGCTGTAGGCAGCAGGAGACGCAGTGCTCATAGGCGCTGCAGCAGCCGTTGGACAAGCAGCCGTCACAGCAGTGCTGCTTGGTGCTGGGGACACTGACGTCACAGCAGCCATTCACCAGCAAGTCCTTCCTCTCACAGACGTACCCTGCAAGCCAGAGACGACCCTGAGTATAAAACCAGCAGGCCCCCCAACTCCCCACCGGGGCGATCTGGCGCACTGCGTGCGAAGGACAGAGACAGAATCTGCAGTCCACAGCATCCAAAGCACCAAACAAGGAGTCAGACAGCATGTGGTGAGGACTCACTCCCCAAGTGCGGTTCTTTACAGAAAACACAAATTCCCGCATGGTAAGTTCGCTCTGCATCCTCATCTACCTAAAATAACCTGTGAGTCTGCTGCTGTGCATTTGATTTAATCGCCCTGCCAGCCACACCTGTGTTTTCCTGTTCTAACTTAGACAAACCATTTTTTCATCTATGCCTGAAGAAAAATGTCATTTTTTGAAACAAAAAATCTGAAAATAGGAAAAACAAAGACATTAATTGCAGAAAGTCAGATCCTTCTAGATTAAACATAAAACACACACACACACCCCACCACCACTTCCTTTGCAACTATCTTTCAAATGCTTTCCATTTATTTACCAGTTTGGAGGATCTTTTAAAATAGAAGTAGTCACACCTCACCTTTATAAATTGATTTAGGCTGTGTTTAAGTATACATGCCAAGTCTTCAATTACCGCTCAGCATCAGGGAAAGGGAGTCCTCTAAATCCTAATTCCCTTCACTCCTCATAAATCCCATCGAATATTTACACACACTTCCTTCAACCCAGCCAATCCATGCACAGCTTTAAAAAAGAATTGCCCTGCAAAAGTTTCTTGTTCAGAGCTGCTAAGCAGACATTTCTCTGCATCCTTGTGGGACTGGGAAAGAAAAATGTGAGAAGTGCATAAGGGACACCACTCGGGCCCTGGGAAATTCCCAGGTGCGCGCACGGGCTCACAGGTGCGTGCCCGGGCCCACAGGTGCGGAGCAGCTGTTCCTAGGTCATTCCATTCCAAATGCCCCAGCTTCTTAACCCTCAGAGAATGAGACTTGGTGAAGCCTAAGGTTGTTTTCAGAAACTACTCTGGAAAACAAAGTCTGTGCGGGAGCTGGAGGCAGTAGAACAATGGAAGAGTCTAGAAGAGCCCTCACACTCGAAAAACAGGCTCACCAGGGAGCTGGTGTGCTTTGTTCCTTTTTGCCATTCTAATGCCATCACAAATGTTTCTGACATTCTTCCTAACTATTCTTATTCATTTTCTTCATAGCGATTGTAAGTCAACAACAACAACAACAAACCCCGCCCTGGCTGGTGTGGCTCAGTTGGTTGGAGCATCCTCCTGTAAAGTGAAAGTCTGTGGGTTCGATTTCCATTCAGGGCACAAGCCTAGGCTGCAGGTTCGGCCCCCAGTCCGAGTGCTCATGAGAGGCCACTGATCAATGTTTCTCTCCCTCCCTTCCCCTCTCTAAAATCAATACACATGTCCTCGGGCAAGGATAAAACAAAAATCCAAGTTAAGCCAACATGTTTCTTGAAATTCTGCCACGAATGATAAACACACAGCAAACTTACCACTTCAGTGTCAGAAAGATGTAAAATATAATGTGACCTTAAACTCCACTTGTTAAAATTATCTTTCTGCCCTTTTCTCTTTCCTATATCCTGAGGCCTTTTTTCTCCCCAGTGCTAACTGCCAGGAGTCGTGAAACCACACATCTTTCTCATTTCTGGTGAAAGAAAGCTCACCAGGATTTCACCTTGTTCATCATAAACCGAACCACGCAAACATCACTTCCAACAAGGAATCATGTAGGATCACAACCGCAGAATGTGTTGCTGTTGACTGAGAAATTAACTTCTAACCTTTGAAAAGCCTGAAACTCTAATCGGTTGTCTTATTTAATAACATAACCCTGGCAATATTCATGGTGACATCTGCTTCTTGAAAGGCATAAATTCCTGCAAATTTTCTTTATTAAATTGCTTCTCTCTCCTGCCGTATTTATGAAGGTAAAATATTACCTATGGCTCTTGAACTTTTAATTGATTCTTGCAACTTTTTACTTAAGAAGTCTGAGAGTTTTTGTCTCACTCAAATTAATCAGAAGAAAATTACTGTTTGGCTAGCTACAAAATGACAAATCGTCATTCTGAACTTGGTATTAAATGCTCTGTTGTTGTTGAAATGTATGTTCATTCTGGTACTTCTGATCAGTTGTACAATTTACAGAGTGACAATTGCCAGATATAGTTTATATTTCTTCGGGACGGGGGCTCATCCCTGACTTCAATTTGGGATCTTCGAATCTGAAGCCTGGGAACGCACTCGTGACTGCTTCACCACACATCTGCTTGAGCTTCCACAGCTCCCTGTCCAGATCCTGCTGGCACTCTGGGCCCGTGTCAACAAACAGCTCCTCCAGACGACTGTCGCTCAGTTCTGCATCCTCCCATCTTGTCCACGGAGAGTTTCTGTGCAGGATCAAGCCCTTACTACAAGCCCCTGCTCTTACGCCCACATTCCTCCTCAAGCGGGCTGGGACTGCACACCTTGTGGCCGAGGAGACCCTGAAGAGCCTCCCAAGAATCACGGTGACTCTGTGCCTCGCACTCACAGCCCAGAGCTGCCAGAGCCGCAGCCACCGTCGCCACCACTGCCGCCGCTGTTCTACTCTGACATTAAATATTAAAGCCAAGGCACCGATTTCAGGTTTTCTCACCACGAGTGCCATACAAACAAAACAGTCTATAAGAGAAAAAAGCACTGCACTCCAAAATCAGTCCTGGTCTCACATCTTGCATGCCAATTAGCTGTGTCATCCTATATAAGTAACTTCCCTTTGCCAAACTTTATTGTTAAAAAAAAATACACGTTATTTGCAACGCTATTTGCTTTTTCCTTCACTTCCTTAACCTCTTGGTGCCTGTGTCTTCACCTACAGAGTGACAATATCTTTATAGGGATTCCAGCAGCTCCTAGACCTCGTAGGACCGTTGCAGTCAAATGAGATCTTCAAGCAGAGCTTCAGCCCAGTGCCCAGCACACAGGACAAGCTCAGGTGAGGCAGGCTGCAGGGTCGTGGGAGTCTCTCCTTGCAAGGACTGAGCCGGTCCTAAAGGTGCAAGCACTTTAGCGGCCATCTAACCCAACTCCCTCACCAGCACAGGAGTCCCCTTTCTCACTGACTAAAAGGAAGCGAGGACACTCTGGGGGAAAGCACCAAAAGAAGCAGACTAATATTCTAACTGCGAGAGTGGTACGTTTTTAATGTGTTTACAATTCACTTGAGATTACCCAGGCAGTCATCGACCAGTGCATTGTCTACGTGCCAACACTGTGTGAATACAGGTCAGGTCACCAAGGGGAAAAACTGAGCTCCCATCCTATACAGTTGACCAAGACGAGAAGACAGACCGGCGAGCTACAGAGAGTCTGGCAGGAAGTAGCCCAGGGGCTGCTGTATGATGAAGTGCTAACACCCTATACTACAGGCACAAGGAACTTCAGAATTACCAAACCAAGCTTCTCTGGTATTGAGGGGAGCCTTGAACAATGAGTTAAGTATGGAAGACAAAGAAGGTGTGAGAAATTTGGACAGGAGCAAGAAGGGCACGGGCACTGTATAAACCCCTCCTTAAAAACCCTACGAGTGGCCACAGCGGAGCACCTCACTGCCTGCAGGAGGAGAAGGAAGCCAGCCGACCTAGCTCGTCCGTGATGAGGAGCTTCCCTTGAATGGAGTTCCGGCACTGGTTGCTGGGCCGGCTGCTGTTGCCCAGGTTAAACTGCACCTTCCACAGAATGGGCTGATCGTGGTCTTGCACCTGGAGGAGGTTCCGATCTCTCACTGCCCTCTCCTCCTACAAAGAGACCGTAAATGAGAAGGTTAAGGTGTTGTTTCTTGCACTTTCACCAATTTTTCCATATAAACTACAACAGGACAGACGCAATTTTTAAAAGCTCACACAACGGGCATCTGCACTCCCCTGGTATGTGAGAAATCTGGGCCTAAGTCAGGAAATCAAATACAGGAACATAGGAAAAGGTAACAAATTCGGGCTGCGCTTCACAGCTGCAGTACTTACACGAATGCCCCTGGGTGACGTGCACAGTATTCATGTGCACAGGAGGGTCAGTTTTGTGAAAAAATTGGGAGGAAAAAAGTTTTAACATTTTTCTTTCTAGTGACAAATCATTTAAAATAGATTTTTATATTAAAACAAATATATCGTGGAATAGACTGTATAACAGAAGGAACTTCGAAGGAATTTCACAACTCTCAGTTCAAACAATACCCAGACACGTCCAGAGCACAAGGTCACTTTCACCTGCAGTTGTGAGTACTCAGTGGTACGTTTACGGGACTGCTGAACCCAGGGGTTGTCTGGGGGCAAGAAGCGGCATGTCCGTTTGTAAATTTCTTCTATGAAAAAGTACTGAGTCTACTACTCCTTACCACACACCTCTCTTTACAAAAGACATCCTTGCCAGCCAGCCCTTTACCTAGACACACAAAGTGAAGAGCTGCTCTAGGAGGAAGAGTTCAGACCTTTTCCGCTAGCCTTCCAGCTGTGGCTGAGCTTTCGAAACTGCCTTCCTGTACTGCGCCGTTAAAGAAACCCAGAGGAAGGTGGGGCAGTGCCCGAGACAAGCAAGCACGAGACACAGAGGCACCTTCTGAATTCTTACCGGAGACCCCCTCCTGAGGGCTTTTTATATACTTTAAGCACTCCACCATTTTTAATGGAGTTCTGTGGCTTTCGCCATTTGAGAATGTGATTAACCAACCAATGTTACCGCAATTTATTTAAAATAATCGTTAAGTGTCACTAAGCAAACAGAACTAACTTTGAAAAAGTGATGGCAAAGGTAGTTTACTTGCAAACAATCAAAAGAATCTTTATAGTTACCAAGATTTATTTAGGAAAGCAATCTGGGAAGAGTTATTAATATTTAACATATATCCACATATATTTTGGCCCCGCAAACACATTCCTGATGCCTCTCCTATGGAAAGTACCAAAGTATAAGGATGCACCAGGATGTTTACACGGTACTGCTTACGTTGTAGAAAAAAACCAGAAGCCCAGCAACAGAGAAATGGGTGAAAGAACACTGGCCCACCTGCGGCTGTCAGAAAACCTGGGTATGACACACGTGTTATATCTACAGCAGTAGTTCTTAAACCTGACTTCCACACCGGATTATGGAGGGACCTTAAAATAACTTCTCAGTCCTGAGACCAACTCCAGACTGAGTAAAAATCTCCGTGGATGGGACCTGGAAATCAGCATTTTAAAAAGCAGTGAGTTGACGGAAAACACAGACAGGGCTGGACGTGCATGGCATATCACTAAGTGAAAAAAGCAAGTTGCAAAATAATGTGCATATTTGTCACAACTGTGTTCTAATATACACATACAGATTTGTTAGTGCTCCAAGATATAAGTATGGAAGGGTACACTAGAGACTAGTAACATGGAAGGGGCATTTATGAACAGCTTTTATCATCTTTGGAATATTTTAATTTTTGATTTGAAAACACGATTATCATTAATAATTGGAAGCACTAAGTAAGGGATCTACAAGAACGCTGTACTGTCCTTGAATCTCTTCCGTAAATTTGTAATTATTCCAAAATAAGAAGTTTACTTTTTAAAAAACATAATTACCAACATTAAAGACAAGAATTGCCCACAATGTCAACACTTAAAGCTGTGTCTACTTCTGCATACCAACTCCCAGGCTTTGACGGTGGCATCCATACTCACAGATGAAGATGCTCTGCACCTGGCACTCCCCCACACTAGTTAGATGGTGAGCCAATCGAGCACCGACCTCATCTCGAGAATCACATTTTTAAGGCTATCTAATCATCCATCAGGTTGACGGGCCCTAATTTAGTAAACACATCCTTTACAGACAGCCATTTAGCCCATTCCAGATTTTTATCACAGATAACACTGCAATAAAAATGCAGTTTTTGTTTATTCTCTTAAATAATTTGTACTAATTATTATTATTATAAGTAGTCAATGCCAAACGGTGCCAAATAACTTCCCCAAATTTATATACACCATTTGAAATATCACCAGCATTTACATAACAATGTTTACAATTCTACCACCGCCACACAAAGACTGGATTTTATTCTTTACTTCACCAAGTGTAAAGCAATCCTTCAAGGTGGCTTTCATTTCTGTTCCGCCCCACCCCTTTGTTTCTTTTAAAGGAAAGAACTGGCATCGGCAGGAACTGGATGGGCCATACAAAAACAACATCTGTATTCCTCCGCTGGTGCAAGAAGAGGAGCTAAGTGCAGAAGCCTTGGGAATACGGGGCATATCTCTTAGGTGCAGACTGCTTAACTACCTGTAAATTCATACTCCTCCGCTCTGCTGGGACCCATCAGTTAACTGCATAATCAAGCTATGTGCAAACTCAACTGAGCGTCAAATGCTACCCTAGATAAATTAACAGCCATAAAGACTGTTAAGAGGCTGGTCAAAGTACAGTACACTGGATCTTACAAGGTTAAAAGTGCTCTTAACATTACTCTCAAACTATCCTGTTAATCTTCCAGGGGAAAAGAAAAAAAGAGTTCATGGACACGTGCATCCCAGAAGGACCTCTTCCACATAACGACAATCCTGGTAAACAGGAAGGCAATTCTCCCAGCTCTTGAAACTGTTTTCAAACATGAATATTCAAGACCTTGCCATAAGGATTGGGTAAGAGCCATATAATCAAAAAAGACTGTACAAGAGATTGTGTAAGATGGCAAATGTAATGCATTAGTACACGTTCAGCTGTGTGAAAGGTCAGTCTCGCAAAGGGTGTGGTGAAGGAGCACTGAAGGGCTCCTTTACTGGACAGGACCAGTGGTTTTAAACCCTCCCCAAACTGTTCCACCTACCCTACTAGGTTGTCTCAATTTTCAGCTTTTATCTATCTATTTTTTTTTCATTCAAGATTCATTCAAAGGTATCAAGACCTTACAACACCTTCAGGAAATAGAGACAAAGGTAGCCAGGTTCTCTATTCTCAAAGAGCCTTCAGAGCAGTTGATAAAGAGGTATCAGAAGTCAGTGCAATCAGCCACGACACATGTCCACAGGAGCTGCAATGGGGCACCAAGAAAAGAGCGGGAACAAAAAGGAACACACACACACACACACACACACACACACACACACGAACTTTCTCCATAAGCTGTAAGGAGCTACGGAAATGTTTTTAGTACTGATGTGTGTTACTGCAATGGGGTACCAAGAAAAGAGCGGAAACAAAAAGGAACACACACACACACGCACGTACACGCACACACACGAACTTTCTCCATAAGCTGTAAGGAGCTACGGAAATGTTTTTAGTACTGATGTGTGTTACTGACCTCTGATTTTAAAGGAGGTATATTAGTTAACTGTCCTATTTTTCAGGGGTTGTAAGAATCAAATGAAATAAATGTCCCAGCTAAGTACCAAAACACTTAAACAGAAAGCACTGTCATTAAAAGATCTGCTTATGATTCAGAAAAAACAAAAACAAAAACAAAAACAGATAAAGGCCAGAAGTTATCCCAAATGCCTAATGTTTGAGGAATTGTTAAATGTAAACAGATCATGGAAATTTTTAATTATTAAAAAAACCTGTACTTATAAAACACTTTAAAAGATAAAGATAATGCATACATATTAAATGAACAAAGAGTATACTCCAGTTATATTTTTAAAATGTGAAAAATGAAGGAAGAAAATATGCCCAGATGTCATCACTGAACCCCTCTGGCTGGTGAGACTACAGGTGACCTTCCTCCCCTGCTCCGTGCAGTGCTGTATGAACCTTCTGGAAAATACATGCACGCCGGTGATCAGCGAAAAGCAAACACCAGACTAGCAACTCTTATGATTTACTCTACTTCACCTTGGACAGTATCTAAATTGGCATCGATTTACATGGTTAATTACTTTAAAGCTGAAGACGCGAATAGATTTTCAAGGAGCTATGCAAACAGCCCGAGCTGTTCAGGGGCTGCACCACCTCACCAGTCTGAGACCACTCACAAACACGAGGGGCCTCTAAGGGCCCTCCTGACTCCACGGCTGGGGTTTCTGCAGTCTCAGCTCACACGCCCCACACTGAGCTCAGTCCACCTTGCCGCTTTACCACGGCATCCTGTTTTGTTTCCTTTATATTGCACATCACTATCTGAAATAACGGCCCTTTTGCCGTTCCTGCCCCCCACCCCACCCCCAGCGGAACAGAGGCTCTTGGAGAGGACTGCCTCTCACTGCGTCTTCACCGTCCAGCCCACGGTGCCTTGCACGGGTGCTGTTCGCTGAACATTCGTTAAGTAAATGTTCCAAGTCACCTGGCACCACGCACCATTCCCAATCCTCTCCCCCAATGGCATCCCCACCATTATCACTAATTTCTCCTACACTCCCCTCTCTACAATTTAAACTATCCCCCAAAGCATTAATTAACATGAAAACAACCAAAAACAAAAAAAGAGAGGAATTCAAAGCAGTAGAGGATAATCAACTATTCTCCAGGCAAAAAGCACCACCTCTGCTCCAGGAGCTCATGGTCTCCCTGAAGCAGAGCTCAGGATCATACAGAGCTCTGAAGTTTTCCATGGCCTCTTCTCAAGGAACCCTAACCCCCGCCCCACCCCCACCCGTATCACCATCTCCACTGTACAGGTGATGAACCTGAGGCTGGGCAAAATAAAGCAAACAGCCTCAAGTCACCAGGCGCAGGAGCAGACAGCACAGCCGGGACAGCACGCTCAAATGCACGGGGGAGCACACCAGCCAAGTTTCGGGTTCCAGGGATCTTTTCATACTCTTAAGAAGAGCACCCCCATACCGAGGACCCCCAATATGTGGGTTTACAGGGTTATGGCTGTTGATATTTATCATATTGAAAATTAAAACAAGTTCTTAAAATACACGTTTTCACCACATTACTTATCCATCTAACAATGAACCCATTTACACGTCAACTGTTCTTTTCTTCTGGGTGTGAAAAAAATATTTTTCAAAACTAACGACAAAATTGATAAGAGAAGATGTTTTTACATTTCTGCAAATCTTTTCAATGTCTGGCTTAACGGGAGACGGCTGGATCCTCCAGCCTCCCTCTGCACTCCACCTGCCGCAGTGTGGCCTTTGGGCTGCAGCACACGAAGCAACCCGCCTCAACCCACCTCACACGGACTTGTGGTTAGAAGTGGGAGGGGCATTTCAACGGCTTTCCCAGGTCATTCTGTGCCGCCTTCTTTCAAACGGGCACAGCTTCTGAAACGCTCACTGCGTGCGGTGCAGCCGCTTTAGAAAACAGTCTGGCCGTTCCTCACAAAGTAAAACAAAAGTCACCCCAGAAGCTATCAATTCCAGGCCCAGGGCCAAACCCCCAAAATGAAAACCTGCTCCCAACACCATTTTGCCTAGCAACGTCCAGAATACCACCATTCATAGTGGCCAGAAGGTGGAAGCAACCCGAGTGCCCACCAACCAATGAACAGAAAAACAAACGTGGTCGGTGCACACAACAGGGTGTTACTTGGATACAGAAACGAACTAGCAGCACAGACTCCGACGACATCTACGGGAAAGAAGCCAGATACAGGAGGCCACGCACGGCAAGATCCCATTCATGTGAAATGTCCAGAACAGGCAAGTCCACACAGACAGAAAGTTGACCAGTGGCAGCCAGGGGCTGACTGGCAGGGATGCAAAGTCACAGCTCAAGCGTTTCTTACTCTCACTGTTTGTTAGACGGGGGTTGGTTGGAATCAGACCCAGAGAAATCTGCAGAACAAAAATTTTACCAACAGTTTTAAGGAAAATCACAATCACTGCCCCCCACCCCCCAGAGAAGCCAACTGTCATAAACCACAGGTTTAAAAAAAAAAACACGTCAATTTAAAATAATCTACAAGGTGCACTGCAGCACTTACAAGGAGACTGCAGAGGAGACAGCATCTGCCCCGAGACATGAAAAACGAGCAGGAATGGGCCCGACTGAGGAGAAACGTCATCCCAATGAAAAAGACCCACGTGTCTGTTCCAGTACTCGAGTGCCCACGAGGCGCCTGGCAGAGTCTAGGGGCTGGGATTCTGTGAACAAACCAAGGTTCTGTGCTCGAGAAAATTACACTGTGGAAGGGACAGTGCACGGAGACACATAAACAAGTAAACGAACAAGGAATGTCCAGTGTCTACCCCAAAGAAAACGAAGCAGGTCCATGGGCAAGGGGAAGCAGTTTACACTGAGTCACAGGCGGGGGGGGTGCCGAGGCAGTCACAGGTCCTGACCTGAGGCGACAGGAAAGATTCCCCATGACGCTGGGACGGAGTCTGGAGTGAGCCTGCACTAGGGACCCACGGACTCACACACAGGGCAGTGTCCGCCTGCCTGACTCTCCCCCTCCTGCTGGGCAGAGGACCGACTCGGGACAGGAAGGGAAGCAGAGACCCCTGGCGGCCGTGGCAGCGGTCCAGGCAGGAGGTGCAGGTACCCTGACTTAAGGTGGCAGCAGTGACAGTTAGGAGATAGGATCAGACTCAGGACACGGGTTCTGGAGGCAGAAGATAACAGAATCTGGGGTCTTCTGGACAGGCCTAGGCTGGAGTTAGGAACTGGGAGGCCGGGAGCGCACAGCTGATATTTAAACAATGATGCCAGAGATCACCTGCAGCAGGTAGGGAGCAACGGGGAGTGTGGCTCTCTCCCAACACTCAGCGGTCTGTCGGGCAGAGACGGGACGACACGTGACCATGAGAAGTTGTCTGTGAGGTGGCAGGAAACACTCAAGTTGACACAAATGTCACCCGCACATCCCAGTCAATAAAGAGACGCTTCCAACGCCAAGCCTCTGTCTGCCTGTGGTGGGGGTGGGATCCGGTTCCCCGGCTCCCCTGCCAACCCGCTAAAACGAGGGTGACCACCGAGTACATTTATTTTCTATTCATTGATGTCTTTTATTTATGAACTGGACCCGTGAGAGCGAAAGGGGGCTTTTAAGAACTATAACATCCTGGGGTATGTTCATCCCCTCCATAAACCCTGAGATTCAAGGGGGACTTCAAAACTTGACTGCTTTGGGTAACATTTCCCACCAAAGCGCCCTGTCTCTTCTCCCCCAGATTCTCGCATGGAATGAACTCGAAAGGGGTGAGGAGGTGCACAGAGCACCCCCACCGCAGTCTCGCCCAGACAGGGCGCCCCGCGGGCCCTGCGGAGTCTCCCACGTGGGCCACGAGCCCCCGAATTAAACGAAACGCAGAGTCGCAGCTCTGCTTACTGAGTGTGGCCCAGCCCACTCCGCCTCTCCGCTCGCGGTCTCCCGGTGCCATCCGGGGCCACCACCCGCCAGGGCTGCTGCGAAGATGCGGTGAGAAACGCACCCCGGCGCGGCAGAGAGAAAGCAGGCGGAGGCTGTAAGGGTAATAACCGCCAGCGGAAGGGCCCACAGCCCCGGGTTCGAGTCCCGGCCGCTGTCTTAGCAGCGCCTTCTCACCCAGGGCACCCACGATCGAGCAGGTCCCTCCGCCCGCCCTCGGTCCCGGGACAGGAATGCCCACCTGCCCGGGCACAGGGGCACGGCAGCCGCAGAGGCAGCCCCCCGGCCCGGGGAGGAAGCCGGGCGGCCGGGAGAGCTGCCTGCGGCGCCCGGAGCAAACGCGGGAGGGCGACCGGCCACTGACCTGCTTGAAGGTGCTGGTGAGGAAGTAGACGAGCGAGAGCCCGAAGACTAGGGCGAGCACCCACCTCTTCCTCAGGAGCCGGCGCCACACCAGGGCCGCGAGGTTCACCATACCGGCGCGGACGCGGGGCGCGGCGGCCGGGGCGCGGAACGCGGGAGGCCCGGGGCCCGGGCGGCATGGCCCCTACGCGGCCCGCAGCCCCATCCCTCACGCCGGGAGCCGGCCCAGCGCCCTCAGCCCAACCAGCTCTGGACCGCCAGCCTGCGCCGCCCCATGTGACCACGCTTCCACCACCCCCATTTGCGTCACCAGGCCGTCTCTCTCAGCCTCGTTGCCATTGGTCCCTTCGAAGAAGCGGCTTCCTATTGGCTGAATCCTGGGAAGGGGCGGGCAATCATATGCGAGTGGCCGGAGGAGGCGCGCCGGGATTTTAGTGCGGCTCCAGTCAACCCCAGAAAGAATCCTAGGAGAAGCCGGAAGCACTCGGAAGTCACGTGCTCCCCGGACTACGAGAGTGATTGGCTTGGAAGGACGTGAATGATGTCGCTGTGATTGCTGAATTGTCTCGTCAGGTAAAAAGAGAACGCGGTTTTTCTTTTTTCTTCAGGGATGGTCCGCTTGGTCCTCCAGCCCTTGCACGCTGACCGTCGGCCGCAGGAATGAAAAACGCTCGCGGTATTGTACACAAAGTGCACCTGCCCTCTTCCGATGCAAGTAATGCAGGAGATGCTCTCTTGCGTGCATTTCGCTGCAGTCAGGTAACGGCCCGAGCCCTCCACTTAAAACAGCCTGTATTGAAGTCTTGGTGTAATTCTTCATTGGGATGTAGTACGATGCATGGAGCAGAACGTTAAAAGGCGTTTCATTGAGATGCATCCTACGTGCAAAAATTTATTCCATACTTCAATATTGTAATGATAATTTTACGGCCTGCTTCCAACAGGGAATTTGGAGCTCCTTTGAAATCAAACATCTGAAAGTAGAATGTTGGGCATTGCATTTAGGAGACTGGGTCAGATTTGTGAATGGAAGCTTTGGGACATTATATTTTATTTTCTCTAAGGATCTGCCGGTGATGGGTTATCTTGGGAGAAGAGCATTAAGCTGACATTACAGGTTCCGAGAGTTGAGAACTATTTACATAATAAGCCTCCTTTCATATATGAAGTGGTGCTACTGACCCATTTTTTAGTTGATTTGCCAAAAGAGAAAGGAGGCTTACCTAGCAGGTTTTCTCTTTCATCAGTGGCTCCATTAACACCAATGCTGACCCCTGAAAAAGGCTGGTCAGCATTAGGAAGTCATTCAACAGCCAGTTAAGGTGTCCCGACCTAAAATAAATAGTCAGATAGCATATTTGGTTATGCAAAAAAAAAATATTCAAGGACTCTAAACCTATTCATGGGAAGTCTCCTACCTTTTTTTCTTCTCGTGGGTGAAAGGTCTGAAAGGGTGCAAGGGATGTAGGAAGAGGTAACTGAGAGACCCATAGATGTTTGATTCATTGCGTAAATACTTGTTGAGTGCCACTCTGTGCCAGGCAGTGTTTTGGATGCTGCAGTAAACGGGCAAACCAGGCAGACAAACTCCATGCTTTTGTGGCATTCCCTTCTCATGGGAGACCCATCATACATAAATAAGCAAATGTGTAAATAGGTAAGTGCTATGAAGAAGGTTAAACAGCGCAATGTTATGGTGGGTCAGAAGAGTGAGAGGACAAGGCCCCTAGGAGGAGGTGGCATTTGACCTGAAGGAACCAGCCACCAGCAAAAGCATTCCAGGGAGAAGGAATAGCAAGTTCAAAGGGCCTGAGGCAGGGACAGTGGGCAAGTTTGAGAAACAGAAAGGCAACGGTGGCTGGAGGGAGTGCTGAAAGGGAGCATGAAGGGGCATGAGGTTGGAAACGGGTGAGGCCCATCAGATAGAACCTGTAGGCTGTGAACTGAAATTGGATTTTATTCTGATTACAGTGGAAAGCCACGGGGGGTTCTAAAATATATTTTCTCTTCTTTTTAAATTTTATTTAAATTGCTGTTGCAGTACAATTTTCTATCTTTAAAACATATTTTATTTGTTCCCCAATTAGGACTCAATTTGACAATAGACCAAAATACAGTGAGATCGTGACCGTTCTCAGGAGTCCTAAAGAGGAATCAGTGAGCGCTGGCAGGTGTGGTTCAGTGGACCAAGCACAGGCCTGCCAACCAAGGGTTCAATTCCCAGTCAGGGCACATGACTGGTTGCTGATCGGATCCCCAATGGGGGGTGTGTGAGAGGCAGCCATGCATTGATGTTTCTCTCCCTCTCTTCCCTTCTCTAAAAATAAATAAATTTTGTTTTTTTAAAGAGGAATCAGTGAGGGACTAACCACAGATTTGGAGTAGACAGAGCCGTATTCTTATAACGACCCATGATGCCCCAAGACTTATTCTGAGGTCCACGATATCCATGGACTTTTCATGTACGTGTTCTGTTCCATCCAGGGTCTGGAGTCTCTCATAAACCCCCCTGACCCGTGTGTCCATCTGGAGAAGAAGGGGAGGGGGAGGCCTGCTTTCCCTGCAATCCGGTGGTCACATCCCCATCAGGACCCCTGAATGCCTGCCTCCGGTGTCGTCACAATGGAGTTCTGAGGTCCATGTGGCTCCTCAGAGTGAACAAGGTGACGTGTCTCCATGAGAACTCGCATCTTCGTCACCTCTTTATTCAACGTGAGCACTAGAAAGAAGCTTTGGGTTTAGCCACTCCACCCCCTCCCATCTAACAGATGAGGCATCTGGGGCCACAGAGAGGGTACTGATCTGTCCAAAGTCATGCGGCAAGTTAGGGGCAGCGCCAGTTCAGAACCCATGTCTCCTGCTGCCGGTCTGATCCCCACTTCACCTTATCCATCACCTCTTTGCTGCACAATTCACTGCCTTCTCTCCCATGAGAATTTCTTCCATGTCTGGGTCTCAACATCTTCATCCGGGAAATGGGATGATAACACCTTCCTCCATAGGATTGAATATTGAATGACACAGCAGATGGTAACAAGGTTTGGAAAATGTCAGAGAGCTCTGGGGGTGTGAGATATAAGTAATCCTTATTTATAGTTACCATGGCAACCTGACAGGCCGTGGGGATGTTGGGAGACTCTGGCTTATGCCATGTGTTGGCTTTCAGGTCTTAAGGAAAATGCAGAGACGCCACAGCAGTAACACGGATAACGTGCCACCTGAAAGGTAGGCATCTCTTGATTTCCTTCCATCTGGGGGCTCTTGGCCTTCGAGTGGTCAGGGGCAGCCCAAAACTGGATTGAATAATTATCTGCCTCTCAGGGTTACTTGTTTGAGGAGCAGAGATCCGATTGCAAACTTCTCTGCACCGTGATGGCATACACTAGTCACGCATAGCAGCTGGCTATTGCTCTTATGATACTTCTAAAAGTCTGTGACAGGGGATACACTTGACTTGCATCAATGATTGTACCCCTGAGGTTTTAATTTATGGAGGTGACCGAGTGACAACATGGAGAGGAGAGGTTAATGCCATTGAAAGAACTTTATTACTTGTTTCCCCAGTGCAAGGGGCATGTCACACCCTGTAGGGCCACATGGGGAAGCCCCCAGGAGGCAGGAAGGAGCAAAGGGAAGGCATAGGCCACCATTTTTATTGTGTTTTCTGCACAAATCAAGGCAGGGCAGGGGAAACAGCCTAGCGTTGTCTGCGTTGAGTGCTGTCAGCAGGCGCTGGGCTGTCAGGGCAGTCTCCGGTTGTCTGGTACCTGGCTCTGGGTGTTTCAGGGCAGGAGAAATACCAGCTGGATGCGGGAGCATTAGATCAAGAATGTGGCTGAGAATATGGGCTCTGGATTGCAGGGAAGATTTAAACAACTTTGGCTATTCGTTAGGCCCGATAATTACTGGATACCAAATAGACGAACACAGAATCTAAGAAAACACCATTAAAACATTCATGGGCTAGAATTTCTCTAGTTAAGCCCAAGAGAGAACGCACCGTGGGACCTGTTCTCAGGTTGTCACGGTCTCCCAGCCTCAGACCTCCCACCGTGCTGGCGCATACATCCCAGGAGCAGGCAGCTGAGCTTTTCCTCCCTTATGTCCCATTCCAGTTCCCTTTGCAACTCTGAGATTGGCTGCAAAGTTAGAGAACCCGTCGGTCCTGGCGCTGGGGCCGAGTTTTGCATCAGGCCTGCCTATTCTGTGGTGAAGGACTCTGGCCTTCAATCAGACAACCCCTGGCCAAATCCCAGCTCAGCCACTTCCCACCTGGGATGCCTTTGGAAAGTGTTCACCCCCAGGCCTCAGTTTCTCCCCCCCCCAAATGGCAGATAACAAAACTCAAGTTGCTTACGAAGGAATGAATGAATATAAAAATGCACACACACAGCGTCCGAGCAGCAAGCACTCCAGTTGGGGCCTCTGAAGACGGAACGGCTGTCTGCTCCCTCGTGACCCGTGAGATCTTTGGTGGCAGGAAAAGAATGGCCACCGTGTGTCACATACTTACTCTGTGCCACTGATGATGTCAGGACTATTTTTTATCCCCATTTTTACCGATGAGGAAACTGAGGCTCAGAGAGTGGAAGTAAAGTACCTGAAGTCGCACAGCCACGATGCAGCAGGCCTGAGATCTGGACCCCAGTCCGTTCGCCACCCCCGACACCCCCCCTCCCCCAGCATACTTTGCTCTCCCGTCTGGGCAGATCCACTCCTCTCCTGGGCTGCCTCCCACTCTGGCCCTTAAGTGGTTAAGTTAGAAGCACAGCCTCTGCCTCCCCAAGGGATATTCTTTCCCATTTAGGCTAAGATCTCGGCTGGATGCTGGTGCCCAGGGAAGGGAGGCCAGCTATAAAAAGCCCCTTGGCGGACTGAGTCTTCCCTGGTTGTACTGGAGGTCCCCTGAGCCCAGTGCGCTGAGAGTGTTGGCGAGCTTATGGGGGCCAGGAAAGCTCTCCAGGTCCTCATGGGGCAGTGCGGGAGGGACGGTGGCCCCCATGTGAGCCAATGTGGGCACCTGCCAGGACTCCTTCTTTCTTAGCTCAGCTTCTTGAAGCGCAGAAAGAGCCCAAGGCCCCTTGAGGACCATAGCCATGGTGTCCGTTGTTGTTGTCATTATTAAGATTGTCTTTATTATAAAGCCAAACCCAAGGGAGTAGGACCACACACGTCCCGGGATTTGGGAGGTGGCAGGGGTGGGCCAGGTGGTAGAGGGGTGGGTAGCCATCTCCAAGTTCCCTCCCTGGCAGCAGGTTTGTGATAACTTACCCCGAGGTCAAGTCTGTGCAGCCAGAGCAACTACCCCTGAGACTTCTCCAGCCCGGCATCTCCCCTGCTGGATTTCACAGGTGTTCTCTAAGACAGTCCTAAGGTTTCCACTGGAAAATATTCCGTGCTGGAATACGTTTGGGAAACACTAGGTTTAAGCAAGAGTGAGTTTTTTCGGTTGCAGGCCTTCTCAGAGCCTTCAGTATGCTCATTCATTCATTCATTCATTCGTCCTTTCAAACACTACTTCTTGAGCGTGCCCTGTGTGCGTACCAGGTGCATTGTGCTGGGGAGGAGAGGTAGACAATGGGGGCAAACAATCATGACCTTGGACTTCATGGCACAGGGCCCAGTTTAAAGTAGTGTTTACTACATGTTAGAGTCGCCAGGGGGCTCTGAAGACATAGAGATGCCAGGCCCCACCCTCAAAGACTTTGGTTCTGTTGCTCAACGCTGGGTCCTGGGCACCTGTATTTTTCAAAAGCTCCCCTGCGTGGTTATACCGGGCAGCCAGGGTTGAGAGCCACGGGTAAGCAGTAAACAGTGACGTGCGCTCAGTCCCATGCAGCTGAGCTTGGGAGGCAATGAGCACTAGGAATGAGGAGACTGTCGCTTCTGGGGGCAGGGTAGATGCCACCCAGGAACAGAGATTTGAGCCAAAATCTGAGGGATGAGCACAGGTACCGAGGTGGGACAGGGCGAGGGTGACATGCAGTGAAGGGGCCAGCCCGAGCAGAGGCCCTGCAGGAGGAAGCCCATGGGTAGTGAGAGAGGGGCACACGAGAAGACTGGAGGTTGGGGGTGGATAATCCAGGGTGTCTGGCGAGTGTGTCTCTCTGGGCCTCGGTTTCCTTATCTGTAAGATGGGAATGCCGTCCCTCCCAGTCTGCAGGGTGTATCTGAGGCCTCGGGAGGGAGTTTAGAACGGGAAGCCCTGTTGGTGGGATAGCAGCCTGGGGGCCTTACACCACAGAGGTGTATTTTCTCACAGTCCTGGAGGCTGGAAGTCCAAGGTCAAGGAGGTCAAGGTGTCAGCGGGTCCGTTTCCTCTGAGGTCTCTCTCGTTGGCTTGTAGATGGCCCTGTCCCCACTGTGCCCTCACACCCTTTTCCCCCGTGTATGTCAGCGTCCAGATCTCCTCCTCCTGCAAGGACACCGGTCACACTGGATCAGGGCCAGCCCTCGTGACCTCATGTTCACTCAGTCACCTCTGCGAAGACTCTGCCTCCCCATATGGTCATACTCGGAGGTCCTGGGGGTTAGGGCTTCAGCATGGGGGTTTGTGGGGGAGACACAGGTCAGCCAACACAACATTATTGATACTGTTGTTTGTCCCCCAACCTCCACTGGGTGACTGTCTTTCCAGCCGCCTGACCTGGTGGGGCTTTCTCTTCCTTTCTGGCCCAGAAATCGCAGCCAAGCACTCAGCTCCGAGGCCAGCGTGGATGAAGGGGGCGTCTTTGAGAGTCTGAAGGCAGAAGCGGCCTCCCCACCAGTGCTGTTCTCCAGCCTCTCCGGCCTCCCGGCCAGCAGCCTTCCTGCCACCCCATTCCCACCCAGCCTGGTGCTGGGGGCCTCCGCCAGTGGAGGGGACGTGTTCATCCAGATGCCGGCGTCCAGGGAGGAGGGCGGAGGCCGGGGCGAGGGGAGCACCTACCACCACCGCCAGCCCCACCACCACTTCCACCACGGCGGCCACCGTGGGAGCTCGCTGCTGCAGCACGTGGGTGGGGACCACCGGGCGCACTCAGACGACGGGGGCGACGAGCAGCCGGGCACCCCCGCCCCCGCCCTGTCCGAGCTGAAGGCCGTGGTCTGCTGGCTCCAGAAAGGGCTTCCCTTCATCCTGATCCTCCTGGCCAAGCTGTGCTTCCAGCATAAGCTCGGTGAGTCCCGGGCACGCAGGGACTTCAGCCACTGGGTGGGGGCTGTCCATCCCAAATGCCAGGGGAAGGCAGCAGAGGCCCTCACCATGCAGAGAGCTTAAGAGGATGGGATTCTGGCCCTGGCCGGTGGGGTTCGGTTGGAGCATCGTCCCATAAACCAGAGGTTCATGGGTTCAACTCCCCGTCAGGGCACATGCCTGGGTTGCGGGTTTGGTCCCCCCTTGGGGGGGTGGGAGGGGTTGCAGCCGATTGATGTTTCTCTCTCACATCAAGGGTTTGCTCTCTCCCTTGTCCTCTCTCTAAAGTTAATAAGGTGTCCTCAGGCGAGGATTAAAAAAAGAAAGAGTGTGGGACTCTTAGTCAGACCTGGGTTCAAATGCCAACGGATTGGCTATGTGACTTCGGGGAAAGGCACTCACCTCTGAACTCCGGCTTCCTCACCTGCCCCATGCGGGTTGTGGTAGAAGCTGCCTCAGCCGGTTGATGGGTGTGAAGGAGCAGAGTAGAGTAACTTAAGAGTTCAGACTGCTTGGGTCTGAGCCCAGGCTCCGCCCTTTCCTGGCTGTGTGACGCTGGATGCAATATTTAACCTCTCTGTACCTCATCCGTGCAATGAGGATTATTGTAAGACACACTTGGTGAGATTGCAGCGAGGTTAAAGGACCTCATATGTGCAAAGAGCACTTAGGATCGTTTTATGCAACTGGAGGTGATTATGTTCATTATATTCATTATTAATGCACATAAAATACGTAACAGAGAGCCTGGCACAGAGCAAGTGCTCAACGGATGCTCCCTGTTGTTGGTGTTATTAGGAAGGGAGGTAACGATTCATAAAGCGATGAGCCTAGAACCCGACACGCACTTCACACTGAGAAAGTGGTCTCTGGGCCACTGCTCTTACTCTCGTCGTTACTTACCGTGGTGCTGCTGTGCCCTGGAGAGTCTGGGCGTCGTCCTGGCCCTGCAGGAGGAGTGACGGTGATACAGATGACGTGGTGGCCTACGGTATCCCACAGGCAGTGCATGGAGGAGGGTGGGCTGTGCTCTGTGTCTTATTTGCCCCTTTCTGGTGAGTCCTGGCTGACTCCCCCCTGCCCCCGCCGCCCTGTTGGGGCGCTGCCACGGCGGCCCCTCCCTCTCCATTCCTAGAAATGGAAGCCTGTCTGTTCCCCTTTTGTGCGGAATTCCAGGAAACTCACAGCCTTCATTTTATTCTCAAGCGTGGTGGTTTTCTTGTTCAGTTGGCAGGTTGGTTTATTTGCTTGGTAACCCTAGGGGGAAATAGAAGAAAGAGCTGTAGGGTTACTGGTTTTCATTTTATGTATGTCCGTGAAGAAATGTGTCTCTGACAGAGCAGATCCAGAAAAATGCCGGGAGCACACGCTCTGCACTGTTGAAAAAGGAAAAGCGAACTCCGAGCCTGAGAAGCCCAGTGCGTTGCGTGAAAGCAGAACCCTGTCTGCAGGTTACGGACAGCAGGGTTTGCGAAGCCCTGTGCGGGGAGCAGTCCAAGACTGTAGCTTGGCAAACAGTGGCCACTGAAGGAATTCGAATAAAATTCAGTTCTATTCCTCCATCTGCCAGGGTCATGGGTTTTCTGTCAGCAGGAATTTTTTCCCCCTTTAACATCAAACTTTCATTCCTTATGGTGCCACAGTCTTTTTCTCTGTATGTTTTTATGATAAATGACACACCTCAGATTCTTTCTGAAAGCGGGACTAACAACAGGTACCATTTACTGACTGCTAGAGGTGGCGTCTGTAAGCATCCTCCCTCCAGGAGGTGAGAACTGCTATTCTTCTGTCCATTTTACAGATGAGGAAAGTGGGGCTCAGACACGTGCAGTGACTAGCCTAAGCTCACACAGAGAAGTGGTGGCAGAGCCAGGGTTTGAACCCAGGTCTTACCATACTGCACAGCCCATGCTCCTAACCTGGTTCAGTGCAATACCGGAGAGTGGCCTCTAGCCCTTCCCCACGTCAGGGGCCTATGCTCAGAGTGGCTCAGGGAGCCCCAGTGATTTACATGGCAGCCCAAATCCCCCAGAGGTGAGAATTTCTCTCTTCTGAGGTTAGTCTGTCATCCCCGAGAGGGCCAGGGGTGTGTCTGCTGAACGTTACTCACCGTCCCCAGTGAGCCGGGACCAGGCCTGTTGCGTCTAAGTGGTGGTGACATTGGCCCTCCTCTGTCCCGCAGGCATTGCCGTGTGCATCGGGATGGCCACCACCTTCGCCTACGCCAACTCCACGCTCCGGGAACAGGTCTCTCTGAAGGTGAGTCACCTGGTGAGTTTGCCTCCTGTGGCTGCCGTCACAGATGACCGCAAACTGAGTGGCTTCAAACAGCATCAGTGGGTTATCTTACAGTTCTGTCGATCAGAAGTCTGAGACGGGTCTCTCTACACTGAGATCAAGGTGTCGCAAGCACGGTGTTCTGATGGGAGGGTCTAGAGGCGAGTCTGTCCTGGCCTCTTCCAGGTTCTGGAGGTCGCCCGCGTTCTTCGGCTCCTGGCCCCATCCTCCTCCTCCTCAAGCCTGCACCAGTGCATCTCTGTGACCATCCTCCCACAGTCACACCCCCTCTGACTGTCCCCCTCTGTCTCCCTCTTCCACGTTCGGGGACTTCTGTGATGACATCGGGTCCACCCAGGTAATCCACAGTCGCTCCCCATCTGCAGAGCCACTGATTCGCAGCCACGGTTCCAGCTGCAGCCTTTGCTCCCCTTTGCCACGTGGTCTAACACATTCACGGGTCGCGGGGATTGGGATGGGGGCATCTCCGGGGGGCCATTCTTCTGCCGCCACCCCCGGGAAGATCCCTCGATGTGCCATCCTTCTTGCAAGCCCTTCTACCTGCAGGGTCCTCCCAGCCCGGTGCCTTTACCCGCCTGGCATTCAACCAGTTAGCTCACTTCCAACGCATCCTTAAGGTTGAGGTCATTTCGCCGGCACTGCTGGGGGGCCGTACAGCTTCACCACCGTCTTCCTGAATGCCCAGCGCAGTGCTGGGCTGTTGCCCAGCGCAGCTTGCAGATTTGTCCCAGCAGCCTGGTGGGTGGTGAGGGGAGGCAGTCATTCTTACATTTTCCCGATAGGAAACAGCGACTCAGAGACATTAAATTCCTTTTCTGAGGTCCCATAGCCCGTGCCACTGCTAGCGTCAAGATACAAACCCAGGCACTGGCCCCTAGGCTGTGCTCGCCCCAGGTTCGAATTCCAGCTCTACCCACCTACGAGCTCTTAGGTTACCTTAGTAACCTCAGCCTCAGGTGCTGCCTCTGGAAGAGGAACTATTCGCACCAACTTCTCACACCGGTAGAGAGGATCAAATGAGATAATGCAGAGAAGGTGTTCAGCACAGTGCCTGGCACATTGGTAACATTTAATCGAGCTGTTTTTAACAGGCCTGTGCTTTGTGCTGTGCCCGTGGCCCCCTGACAGCCACCGTCTTCTCCAATCCTTCTTTGGGACCATCTGCTTTCTCAAAAGCACCTGGGCCGCCGTGTGGCCGGGAGGACAGCTCAGTCTCCATGTGACACAAGCGCATTGACGTCCAGGGTCGGGCAGGGAGCCAGAGGTTCTCCCTGACCCTTGGTGTCGTCTTCACGCGAACTCCTGTCTGCTGCTTTTTGAACAGCAGGTTGATGGACACCACGGTGGGAGCCTTCGGGGGCTCGCTGTCCCTCAAATGCAGGAACATCCAGATGGTGCCTTGACTGGAATTTTAGGGGGTGAAACGATACCTGTATCCATGGACAAGCTTTTAGGAGCCCTTGAAACTTGGGAAGTAAAGCCACAGTTGATGCTTTGCCCGTCCGCACATACTTTCCTGTGAAAGGAGTGTCCATGGCCCTCAGTAAGTTTAGGAATCTCAGCTGAGTACTGGAGAACTACCCGCTTTGTCCCCCAGAGTCCGGCTTCTTGGGGCAATGCTAATTCCCTCTTTCTCTTCCACCTTGGGTTTGGATTTGCAGAGGACTCAACTGGAATCCATTATTTATCGGGTAAAAAGGGCTGCCGAGTGGATTAATCACATTGATAAGAGCAGTTGGTTGGTTGGAGGTGGTTTTCAGGGTCGTTAACCTTGACCGCTCCTGGAATAATGGGTGGATGGAGATGCATTTATTCTGTCTACTCTGGAAATATGCCTCGTAAGGGTGCATGGGGCGCTGAGCTGTGTCTGGAGACAGCGGAGCATTTACTGAAACCGCAGGGAAGGTTACACTGGGAAAGATATGATCTCATCCTATTCCAGCAAGGCAGCCGCCCTGGTCCAGGAAGAGACGAGCTTTTGAAAATCAGCAGGACGGGGGATCTACGTATGTCTCCCTGGGTACACAGGCGGGGACACGCCAGCCCGGCGCCTCCTCCAGAAATTTCCGGGGATCGCTCTCAGGCTGAGAAGCTTCTGGGAAGCAGCAGACCAAGGCCTGTGTTCCTTGGGACCGAACAGAAACGAGGCAGGAGAAAGAGAAGTGGGGCCAGGGCTTGGATGGCCAAGTGCACGACTTTGAACGTAATCCTGTTAAGTGTGGCGCCTTGTGCAGAACAGTGGGTGAGGGGCAGCAGCCCCAAGGCCCGCGCTAGCCAAAGTGAGAGCAGGGATTTCCAGTTTGTAGTTGTGAATCGTCTACTGGGTTGTAAGGTCTGAATACGACAATAGGTCCTACCGTTTAGTGAGCCTGAAACATGAGCCTGTACCAGACCGAATGTGGGCGTTGATGAATTTTACTTAATACTTCAGGAAACCCTCATTTTCAGTGAGGGCACGGAGACTTAAAACACGCGCCCTTGGGCAAGTGATACTTAACCCCGATGCGCCTCAGTTCTTAACTGTAACTGTGAACTCACATTTCCTGCGTGTCAGGCACTGTTCTAAGCGTTTATGTACATTAATTCTCCCAACTCAGTAAGAGAGATACAATATAGACCCATTTCACAGATGAGGAAAGGGACATGAAAAGTTTAAGTAACTTGCCCAGAGTTGGATAGTCCCCAGGCGGCAGACCAAGGATTTGAACTTGAGCTTCCAGCTCCAAAGTCTGTGCTGCTAACCAGCTGGCTCTCCTGCCTGTCCAGGTAATTTTCCATGCAGGTTTCCACTTTTCGGTCACCTTTTCTGTAACCCTCCCCCGGGTTCCAGCAGGAAGGACCGATGCCGGTACCCTTCCTGTCACCCTGCTTCCTCCACGCCTTGGAAAAGGGAAAGAAAGCATTGTCACTTATGAGAGAACATTCTGGAATGTCCTGCCAGGTGCACCTTTGGCGTGGCAGCGTCCCCATCGATCCCTTGCTCTTTGTCTGCAGGAGAAGAGGTCGGTGCTGGCCATCATGTGGATCTTGGCCTTCCTAGCGGGAAACACCCTGTACGTGCTCTATACGTTCAATTCCCAGCAGCTGTACAACAGGTGAGCGGGGGGGTCTGCCCTGTGGGCATGTGGGGAACGTGGGTGGGCTTGGAATGTGCAGCCCTTCACTGGAGAGTGGTCACCAACTCTGTGTCACGTTGCGACCTTCAGACCCCACCCTGGCGCCACAAGCACTCATGCCTACGGCGGAGCTCTCTAGTGGAAATACCACGCCAGCCCCACGTGTAATTTTCTGGCGGCCGCGTAGTGGCTGGGGGGCGAGAGCCGGCCAGCGAGGGCCTGCAGGATGAGGTTGAGACTCTAGCCAAGCTTTTGGATTGTGTACCTGTCTCCCGAAAATGGACTGTGAGGAGCGAGCCAGTTCGCCGCATTCGGGGGGGGGGGCCACGCTGCACAGGCAGTTTGGGGAGTAAGTGCCAGGGTGTCATCGCACATCCCACACACCGGGTTCGTGGTCTGGCCTGGAATTTCAAGACCCTGGCGGAGGCACTCGAAGGTGGAGTCTCCCAGAACCTTGGGTGAATTCATGTCGTTCTCTGGCCCAATGACGGACACAGGCCCAGCCCTCCGTGCCCCGCCGGACCAGGGCTGAGTCAGACCTGCAGCCCAGCAAGGGGGAGGGGGACAGAGAGGGGCTGAGCCCCCTCCCTCGTGGATGCCAGTGGTCCAGAGACTCCCACGGCTACTATGTCCTCTTGTCCTTCCAGCAGCGTGTCGCTGTCCCCATTTCACAGGTGAGGAAACTGAGGCCAACTTAGTGCCAGTAAGTAGCCTGTAACGGCAAGCCTGAATCTTCGCCGGATTTGCAGTCCAATAGCCAATGTCAGAAAGTCTTAGTCCTGCCCCTTCCCAGCCTGGCACCCTGTGGCAAGTGACGGAACCCCTGTGAGGTGCCCCCGAGTTTCCGCACTCGTGAAACCGGGGCCCAGCTCCTCTTTGCCTTACCCGCTGAACGGGCTCATGATTCCGGAGGCCAAATGTGATGATACGTGGAACGTACTGGGTGAGCCAGGAAACATTTGATCCAATCCTAGTCGCATCATAACATTGTCCTTTGATGATGAATTACCACACCGATGGGTGCTAGTGCCTACTAAGGAGCAAAACGGATGATAAAATAGATCTGTTTATTGAAGTTCACAGCCTACATTATAAATAAGTGGACTTAGTGATGAATCTGGGGAAGAACATTTTGCACTGCCCCTCCTCCAAACACCAAAAAAAAATAAAACACCACACACACACACACACACACACACACACACACACACACAGTGCAACACAGAAGAAACACTTGCACGGTGAAGTAAAGCTCAGATCAGCGGGTTTGTCTCCGGCTGGTGTCTCCGAGACAAAGTGGAAGGTGGAAGCTGGAGGGCAGATCTTCCTTTGCTCGAGGTCACAGAAGCATAAGGGCGTGGAAGTCAGCCAGCCAACCCGAGGTGTCCCCAGGGAGGGACAGCGCAGAGGTGGAGAAAGGAGCTCGGGGCTGCCAGCCTCTCCCTGTACTGTCACAGGGGCGGCCACTCGGACTCGGATGCGCAGGATCGTACCGAGACAGGGCCGGGGTGTGGGGGACCCTGCAGGTGTTGTGAGAAATCACCCAGATAGATTGTTTTCATTGATTTTGCCCTACGCTAGCTCTTTCAAGATTTTATTGTAAGTAGAAATAGGTTTTTAAAAATAGAAGTGAAAAAAGAGACCGGTTCATCCCTAGGGTACTATACTAAAGAGGCCTCGGTTTCGCACCTCTTTCCAGCAGCCCAGCATAGTATAGTCACCCCCCTTGTCCTCGGGGGCTGTGTTCTAAGACCCCCGGTGGACGCCTGAGGCCGCAGACAGTACCAAACCTTGTATACACTATTTTTTCTGCACATGCATACCTATGACCAAGTTTACGGCTTCTCTGTGGCACGTCTGAATTGACAGTGTCACCCTTCTTGCTCTTTGGAGCCTTTATATAAAGTAAAATGAGGGTCACTGGAACACAAGCACTGCAGGGTCCTGACAGCCGATCTTCTGACCGAGACATCTGAGTGACAGAGGACGGGCAGGTGGCAGGTGCAGCGTGGAGATGCTGGACCGGGATGATTTGCTTCTCAGGTGGGGCAGAGAGGGGCAGCGCAGGACTTCATCACGCTCCTCAGAATGGCATGCAGTGTAAAACTTGGGAATTGTTTCTTTCTGGAACTTTCCCATGGCTAACCACTGATAACTGAAACGCAGAAAGTGCAACAGCGGGTAAGGGGGGACCACTGCATGGTGCATCGAGAAGGCGTGTCCGCTCTGGGCTGTGTGCGCTGTTCCCTGCTCTCCAGGGGCAGATAGGACCTGGCCTGCCCTTGGCTCCAAGCCTCCAACCTGGCCGGAAGAGACGGGAGGGGTCCAGCACGGAGTGGCTGCTGGTTCCAATCCCCACCCCCAGTTTCACCTAAGACACCTCCGGCAGGCAACGCCACTCTTGGCGCCCCAGTGTCCCCAGCTCAGCATGGGAAAACCTTAGCCTCTACTTCGTAGAGTCTTTGGGAAGCTGAGGTGAGTCAGACATGTCAAGGGTGCAGCACACATGCCCCCAAGGCGGCGGAGAGCAGTGTTACTCCACGTGTGGTCGTGGGCAGGTGCTGGTTTGAGATGTTTGTGGTCAGGCTCCGGCGAGGTAAGTACAGAAACGGGACGTGAAGGTAACTTAGCTACGCACAGAAGGGCAGAATGGGCTTCCGCACCCCGAGCAGCCCTGCCGTAGGGAGAACCGAGAGCGTTAGCTGCAGCCAGGATGCCCGGGTGGCAGTCTGCCTCTATCCCTTCATATCTGCGGGACTTTGTGCCTGTTACTTTACCTTGCTGTCCCTCAGTTTCCTCATCTGCAAAATGGGGTGGGTAACAGTGCTGGCCTCAAATAGTGGCTGTTCCCATCATAGACAGATCTGCAAGCGGATCTATTGTGAGGCCGTTATCTCTTTGAATCCCACTGGTGATACTATGAGGGAAGGTATGGTTCCCATTTTACTGATGAGAACACTGAGGTTTTTGGAGATAACAGTATTTGCCCAGGGTCCAATAAGTGAAGAAACCTGGATTGAAAAATCAAGTCTGTCTGATACAAATGCCTGTTAGCATGGAGTGTGACCTTGGGCAACTTACTGCTCCCAGCCTCCGTGCCTGGCTTACCAGGTGGGGATAAGCACACCACACAGGACAGTGAGATACAGGGAGTGAAGAGCTCAGTATGGCATCGGGTCCATAGTTTTCCTTTTCCCTCCTTCTCTCCCTGCTCCTTCGTAATGCTGGCCTTTCTTCCTTCCGGTCTGCTTCCTCTTGTGAAACCTGTTATGGACCCATAAGACTGGAGGAAACCTTAACTAATGATACTCCAGGCCAATCTCATCTTTTAACCCTCAAAGGAACTGGGGTTCAGAGAGGTTAAGATACCCCCCTGAGGTCACACAGCAAGTTACTCGCAGATTCAGAAACAGGACACAGATGGCAGACTCCCAGTTCAGTGCTCTGTGTACAGGTCATACTTATGAGGCTCCCAGAGTGAGTGGAAAGAGCTGCGGAGGACCAGGGAGTGAAAGAGAGAATCCTGACTCTCCGAATCCTCCCCACAGCCTCATATTTCTGAAGCCCAACTTGGAGACCCTGGACTTCTTTGACCTGCTGTGGATCGTGGGGATCGCAGACTTCGTGCTGAAGTATATCACTATTGCCCTCAAGTGCCTCGTCGTGGCCCTGCCCAAGATCATCCTGGCCGTCAAGTCCAAGGTAGGCACTGGCTGTGGCCACCAGGCAGCCCCAGCCCTCACACAGGGAATTCAGGGCACCTTCTGCAGGAGGAAAGAGTGGGCGTGAGCAGAGCTGATGTCATCATATCAAATGAGCAGAGCCCGAGCTAGCAGACCCTGACACTCACCTGTTAAGATTGCTTGAAGCTGAGCTTGGTGATAGCTGTCAGCATCTGCCTGTGACGCCCCCGCTCCAAGTTTATTCTTCTAAGTCTCATTGTTCAAAGCTGACTTTGATCCAGTTTTCACCTGAGAAAGGAAAAAAGCCATGTCGACATGCCCTAGTTCGGTTTCTCTCAGAGAAGGATGGCTCTCATAGGTTTTGACGCATTGTGGCTTCAGGAGCATGTCTTGTAAAGGGAACCAAGGCTCAGGGGAAAGAACTCTGTGCTCGACTAGTGATGTCTGCTGTGGACATAGCACAGGCAGTGACGGCAGTGGTTTCTTGCAGTGTCCTGGAGGGGAAGGCCTGCAGGCGTGTGTCGGGTTGAAGGGGTCTTGTGCAGGGATAACCGGTGTAATTCGGAGGACTGAGCAGGGCTGGGACACAGCACCCTTAGGAGGTAAGTCTTGCCAGTGCTTCTGCTGCAAGGCCCAGAGCAGGGAGTCTGGGCAGAGGCAGGTGGACTAAATAATCTCTGAAGACTCCTGCTTGTCTTGCTGTGAAAACAGCCGTCTTTTCAGCTTCAGAAAGCTTAGCGTCTGGCTGGCGGAAGAGCCAGTTTGGAATTGCCTGTCCGTCCAGGTGTGTAGGAAAACCGCCCTTCTGTGTTCCTCCTCTATTCACCTGCTAGAGCAGCTCACGGAACCCAGGGGAACATGCACTTACACTTACCAGTTTGTTAATTATTATTTTATATGCATTAAACATACCATTATTAAAAATATGATCTTTGTTTTGTAGCCAATGTATTTTTATGGTAGACGGCACATTATACCTGTATTTTACATACAGACTTCCCATCAGTGGCTGACAGCAACATCAGTTCGGTATCTTACGGTTCCGGAGGTCAGACTCCAAAATGGGCTCCGTTAGGTCGGAGTCAGGGCTCAGGCAGGGCTGCGTTCCTCTCTCCATCTTCCTGTGCCAGCGCTTCGTGGGCTTTGTTAGGGGGGTCATGCAGTGTGTGGTCATTATTCCCGATGAAGGACGTGATAGAGGACACAGGCACAGCCACGGGAAGAGGTGCAGAGGACAAGGCCTGGGAGGGTGCCACACACGGGAGCTCTGTCCCCATGGAGACGGGGTGCACCGCCCTCTCAGCGCGTGGACACGTGTTCCCCAACCCAGACGCGCTCCGAACCTCACACTATCGGTATTTGCAGGGGGGCTCCCTCAGGTAGACGCGATCAATTAGCATCTCCATGTCCAGCCCCTCTCCCCTCTCCGGTGGTGCGGCTGAAAGTCCCAAGCTTCTGCTTACCGAGTGGTCTTTCTGGGGACTAGCCCCCACCCAGGAGCCTACTAAGAGCCACCTCGTTTGAACAGAAGAAGCTCCGGGAAATTCCGAAGGATTCAGGAGTCCAGTGTGAGATGCTCCCGTCACTCCGGGGATGGCAGCGGTCTGAGGAGCTCTGTGTCGGGCACTGGGCTCAAAGACTAAACAGTAGCGCAAACGATCCTTGTGAATACGGGTGCTGGGCGAGAGGACAGACACCAGTGTGCGTGTTTCTCATCATTTCACACCAGGGCAGTCCGAGTCCGACTGTGCCCCCACCTCGCCGCCCCCGACGTCACTTTCAACTCCCCTCCTCCGCCTGTGATTTATCCAAACGAGCCAAAGTCCTAGGCTGTTGAAATTTCCTTTGATGAAGACAAGAGAGGAAACAGTGGGTCTGAAGAACCCTGACATGCCTCACATGTGCCCTCCCAAGGTCACAGGAGCCGTGATCAGTTGGCCCCTGAGCTGATGCTGGACCAGGTGGGTACTAGGGACTTGACGCCAGGAAGCAGCATGGCCCAAGGTTACGCATGCGGACTTTGGCATTGGACATGTCTGCATGCAGATCCCTGCTGTACCTCTTCCTAGCTGGGTGACTTCGCACAGATGACAAAGCCTCTCTGAGTCTTCGGTTTCTCACCTGTCAGCTGATGAGAGTAATAGCACCTTCCTCCCAAGTATTAACCTCACAGCAACGATTGCTGGTGGGAAACAGAAGGTGCTTTGCCCCATGCCCAGCACAGAGTAAATACTCATTAAATGATTTGTAATACTTCCAAGTGTTCGTTAGGGCTGCTAGCTCTGTATCAATAAGCTGTGTGACTTTGGAAGGGTTCCTTAACCTCTCTGTGCCTCAGTTCCCTCCTCTGTCAAGTGGGGATGATAATTGTGCCGGATGCCTTCCTTCTGCTCCCCTAGATACACCCCCCACCTTTCTCAACCTGCGGTCTGTCCAGGAAGCTCACCTGGGGGAACTGTGCCAGCAGGCTCCTCTGGCGCGCACTTGGGCTGAGCCAACAGGAGGCCTGGGACACGCAGAAAAAACATGGAGACGTACTGCATGTGGACGCATCGAGGGGTGGGTTGGTCACTGCCTGGAGAGGAGGCAGGTGAGGCTTCCCAGCTCTCCCCCAGCAGTCCCACCACGGACATTTCTACTCGTTCCCTCTCTCCTACCCACCCTCTCACCCTGTTCATTGTACTCTAGCCAGACCCTACTTTCTCCTTTTCTTTGCATACGTTAACCGATCTGACATGTGGCAGATGCTCTTCTAACCCCACTCCCCAGATGAGAAAACTGAGGCACCGAGCACAAACTCCCCCGTGCAGCTGCCAGTGGGCGGTGTGTGGTCCGGCTTCCTGCCCACTGCACCCCTGGTCCTCCTGCCTCAAAGACCCTGTTCCTGACCGGAGTCTTGACTAACTCCTGCTCCTGCAGATCACAGCCTCCTAGGGGTCCTCCCTCCAGGCTAGGGACGGTGCCCCTGCCCAGGACTCGAGCAGCACCCTGTCCTCCCCCGTTGCAGCCCTCACCACCCTGACTGTAATTGCTTGTTTAGTTGTCTGCCTTCCCTGCTCGAGTGTAACCTCTGTGACAGCTGGAAATGGATGCATCTGGCTTGTTTGTTGATGGATCACTAGTATCTGGTATGTACTCCGAAGTGTTCGTTGTATGTATCTATTATAGTTGGGTGGATGGGTAGGCAAGTGATTGGATGGATGGATGGATGATGGATGGATGGATGGATAGATGGATATTTGGATGGATGGATGGATGGATGGATGGATGGATGGATTTTTGGATGGATGGGTAGATATATGGATGGATGGACAGATGGGTGGATGGATACATTGACAGTCTCGTCAGCTACACTAACTCTTCACCACCTCCTCTTGTAACAGCAGTGAGAGCTTATTTTGTATTCTCAGCTCAGCTCAAACCTCTTGTATTTTGGTAGGTGTTCAAATGCCTCTGCCACAAGGACACAGAAATCCAGAAGGCAGAGTAGTACTTGCTTCCCTGGGCTAGAAAGGGCCAAAGAAAGCTGGCAGCCAAACTAATAGCAATCACTATGGCTAAACATCGCTAAACAATCAATCTGGGCACTGGGGATGCATCAGTGAACTGAGTAGACAAAAAGCCATCTACTGGAGACATTGTCTTGTTCAATCTGAACAGCTCTGGGCAGGGGGGAGGTGCTGTTGGTACCTCTTTTCACGGAGCAGAAGCTGAGTTGAAGAGCGTGCCAGAGATAGCACACTTTGTGGTACCAGTACGCCTAATAGTACTGTAGTAGCAGCACTGACAGCATTGGGCGCGGCTGAAATGGGGAGTCGGCCCTTTGTTTGGGCCAGGAGGGCTCGAACTCATTCCCCCCGACATCTGTCTTACGAGGCACGTGCTGCTGTGTTGCAGGTTTCCTTATTGAGATAAAATTCATGTAGAGTTTATGAGGAATCCTTATAAAGTGTGCAATTCAGTGGCATTCACTGCGTTCACAGTGTCGCGGCACCGTCACCACTGTGTCACCCCAAGACACCTTCGTCACCCCAGAAGAAAACCTTGTACCCACGAGCAGTCACTCCCCCTCCCCCCACCCCCCGGAAACCACGAATCTGCTTTCTGTCTATGGATTTACCTATTCGGGACATTTCACATAAATGGAATCATACATGATGCGATCTCCTGTATCCGGCTTCCCCGCCTCACCGTCATGTTTGCAAGGTTTACCCATAACTGTAGCCGGTGTCATCACTTCTTGTGGCTGAATGATACTCCATTCTGTGGCCAGACCACCGTTGTGTGTTCATTCATCGCTTGGTCAATATTTGGGTGGTTTCCACTTTTGGGCTATTGTGAATAATGCTGCTCTGAACACTTGTGGACAAGCATCTGTCTGAACATCATTTCTCTGGGTCGTAAGGTGACTGTTTGACTTTGAGGAACCACCCAGCTGCTGTCCACAGCAGCAACACCATTCGGCCCTCCTGGCAGGTGCTGTTTTTATCCCCGTCTTTCAGAGGAGAAAACAAAACACAGTGAAAGGCTGAGAAAGCAGCCCGAGGCCACGCAGCGTGTCAGTGGCTGAGTGGGGATTTGAACTCAGGCAGCCTGACTCCAGAACCCCTGCTCTGAGTTGCTGGACAACACCCCCTCCCGTCTGAGTTCCCCGGACCCATTCGGGAGATTCTGCAGAGCTGACTGAGGAGTGCAGTTCCTGGGCACCATCTATACAAAATCTCCCCAAGCTCAGGCCATACCTGCCTCACCTCCTCCTCCTTCAGCTGGGCACGGCTGGGGCAAGGGGCGGGGATGGGACCCGGCACCTTGTCCCTGCACCGCCGAGGTGTAGGCGACAGTTATTAATGTCCCCTTGGCACCTGTCCAGCTGCCTTTTTCTGATTATTATTATTTTATTCGGCGAGATTAATGTGCCAGGTCAGAGCATAATCCAGCCTGTAAAAAGTGATGTGAATGGTCTTCTCAAGATAAATTGCGGGCTTGGAAAAGGTTCACAGCCTTTCCTTGCCTGTCTGA